CGATGCCAACCAAGGAAGTGGTGGTGGAGCACAGCCAGCCCCTGCACCAGTCCGCAGTGAGTGGGATGCAGCCCCTCAACAGACCAGCAGGAAATCTCCAGTTCATGGACCAGGGCCAGTCCATGGACTGCTGGTTGAAAACTATTTTTCTAGATCCGTGGTTCCCAAACTGTGTTCCATGGAATCCTAGGGTTCCACAAAAGCCTTGCAGGGGTTCCACAAAAAAAAATCTCAAAAATCAAATTTAAAACAGATTTTAAAATGAAACCACACAAAGCCAACTATTTGATTGTCAGTTGGCATCCAAGCAGCAAACAAGGAAATGCATCATGTCATTTGGTTCCTAGAGCTCTATTGTGTAGTGTTGAGAATAATCGAAAGAATTCATTTGGGATATTACTGTATAATCATTCATTCATTTTACTTAAAATGTTTTCTCTTTATTTCCAAAACTACTACATTATGCAAAGCACTCAGGCAATAGGAGCAGATGAAAGAAGGAAGAATGTTATGCTTAGTCACAATGATTAGTAAAATCAGGGATACAGATAGGGTTCTATGGGGAAAAGATGTCTTCAGAAAAGTTCTATGACTGAAAAAGTTTGGGAAATTCTGGTCTAGACAACATTTAGTACCCATAGCATTGCAATAGATAATGAATATCACATTTTGGGGCAGGAAAAATGTTCAAATATTAGATCAACTTTAAAACTCAAGAAGTTTAGCACTCCCCTGATTAAATGCTATTAAATTGCTTCTATGCTGTTTACCATCAAATCATGGTATATACCAGATAAAAGCACAAGGTAACAAAATATAATTTATCAACTAGTATTGAAAGCACACTCTGGTTTCACAATAAAATATATAATAAGTGATTATATTATCAATGTATATAAAATCTGAAAAGTATACAAGAATAGACTGAGCTCATTCTTACCTCTTACCACTAGCAATTATAATGAACAAACCTGGGTAATATGATTTTTTGGGGGGAAACATGATCTAATAGAGCTTAGAGATATATTTAAATAGTTACATTAAAATCTATCAAGACATGCATGAGGAAATAAAACATAATGAAGTCTTAGTGTTTCAATATTTGTACATTAGGCAAATACTATCCCATTTAATATCTAAATATGGGTTGCACTAACTTTGAAGCAATATTAGAATATTGGTTACATAAGAGAAACATAAGTCAATTTTATAAAATTATAGCTTAATATAATAAGGAACATCTATTTGACTAAATGGGAAAATGATTTAGGGCACTGTCCAACACAGAGGATTATGGGCATCAAACAAAGCATAGAAATAGCACAGGGCAAGGAGGGAGGAGGCCACCTTCATGCTTCTCCCACCCTGCAATTCTCCCACCCACCCAGAGAATTCTGGCTACCTATGTCTCTTCCCCGTGCTCTCGAGGAGCAGGTGCTGAGGCACCACTAGGACTCTTCATATCCCAGCAAAGCCTCACTCATCCCCTTCCCACACCACAGAACAGACTCCTCCATGTCAGGTCCAAAGTAATAGTTAAGCCTTTAGAACCATGGGCAACACAGAAGGAACTGTACCAGCTGCAAAGACAAAGGAAGGGTGCTCACCTCTTCCAAGGTGCTCACAGTTGGCCATCTATATAGCCAAAGAACTGCAGTCTTAGGAAAGCAAATTACACCAGATGCTTGGGATTTGGTTAAAGGGAACAAAGCTGAAAGAATTCAGTCTGTATGGATTTAAAGAGAATTACTCTTTGGATGGTACTCACACCATTCAGGCTTCATAAAAACCTTTACAGTGAAACCTTGGATTGCAAGTAACTTGGTCTGCAAGTGTTTTGCAAGATGAGTTAAAATTTCTAAATTTTAACTTGATAAATATGCAATGTCTTGCAGTATGAGTATTACATGTGCTTTGCCTGCCGAGCGTCATGTCACAACTGAGCGCCACTTCTCTCTCTCACTGCAGGTGGGAGTACAGCATCGTCTCCCCCCTCCCAGTGCACCTGCTTCAAATTTTTGTGATGAAAAAAAAAAAGTTACAGAACGGATTAACCTTATTTTCATTGGACCTTATGGGGAAATTCGCTTTGCTATACAAGTGCTTTGGGCTACAAGCATGTTTCCAGAATGAATTATGCTTGCAATCCAAGGTTTTACTGTATTGGCAGGTTGAGGACAAGTATTGGAGATGCAGTTCAAGTGAGTGCAGCAAGTATAGAACATTTTTTGGTCCTGCCATAAATAGTACACTTTTTAAAGAAAATAAAAGATGAAATTGTGAAACTGTAGATGTTAAGTTTCCTTTGGACCTGCTGATATTTTTATTAGGATATATTAAGTATATAGTTTTAATTAATGATGCAGAAATGAATACATTCACTGCCATCTGCCCAAAGTGGAGCAAGTTCACAGTCAAAGAATTAATTTTCTAAGAATTGATGACTCATGTATGATGGTTTTGGATATGGTCTTAATTATGAAATTAACAAATATGATTAAAGTCAGAGAGGGATGATCCATGAATGATTTATTTATAAATATTGTATCTTTATTTTATATTATTTATTGTTAGAGCCCATTTAACAACTATGGGCATATGTTTATAACTCTTCTTTGTTACTGTTCGTAATTATGAATCAGTAGAAGATGAAAGGTTTTCTTTTATCTCTCTACTGGGAGTTACTTCTAACGAAGCAGCAAATAAAGAATACATGTGCCCTTTCATCATAGCTGAGTAAGCTTCACCTCTCGTCTATACACAACTGCTAGTATTTTACCAACTGTAAGAATAAAACAGAGCCAATGTATAACCATACAACGAGAATGAGCTAGTATTATGTAATTAACTGTCAATGATGAAGATTAAACATAACCTTACATATAGTAACACAACAGACTTTTGGTCATTTTCTATATATGGGCATATCTTAATGCCACAGAATATAGAAAGAATTCCTCTCAAGATCATATAACTGCCCTACATTACTGATACCGGCAACCCGACAAAAGCAAGTATGCTGTAACACACTTTCATTTTCCAGTTGATCAAAGCTATTGCTCTGTAAGCTGTTTAAAAGCTTTCCTTCTCAGCTTCTCAAATGGTACTTCATCTTCTTGAAAAGCTTAATGCTTTATACAGTATCACTGTCATGAGCCGGGGTTCCTCCTGCATGCATTCAAAAACAACAGATCTTTTTCCTTGTAAAGCATTCTTTATTGACCAAAAAGCACAAAACATTCAGAAAGAATCTCTGAGCATGCACAGAGCAGTTTCCTGAGCCCAACTCTCCCTATGAGCATAAGGAGGAGCCTTCTGAAAACAAGCACGGCTCCTTTCTGCATACTGATTCTCTAACTGGGCTGCCCTCCTCTGCTGATGCTGCATCATGGGGACCAGAGCCGCCTGGTCTGTATCTACAGAACTCCCCTGCTCCAAGTCCCCTCCCACCAACTATACATCTTGGCTATTCGCAGAGACTGCCTGTGACCTGGGGAGTCTGGCCTTGAGATAAGCTGGACTCCAGGTCTCTCAGCTCAGTCTCTCAGGATGGGCCACATTCCCAGCTCTACTTCTGATTCTGATTCCTCTGAAGTCCAGCCAGCAGTCCTTGAGAACAAATGTCCAAAACATTCACTCCCATCATGACCAGGCAAATCTGTGAAGCCACTCACTGTTTGTGCTTAAGAGAAAGATAGTTCAACTACAGCTTTTCATGCCATTTCATGAGCTTTAAAAATCCAATTTGCAAGACTAGTTTACTTGTTTCTATCGACATCTCTCCCAACTTTTAACAGACAGCTTTAACAAATACTCTCAGGACAGTTTCCCAAATAAAATGCACTCTGCAATCTTCCACCTGTTGCACTATCAAGAGTAACATATGCAGGAAGCAAGATAAACTGTTTCATGTACCCCAGTAACAATTGTAAAGTTCTTGCTTGCTGCTTGCAATGATAGCTCACAAGGAAATAGCTAAGGCGGTGGTAACTTATCAAGCAACAAAGCAATAATCGCAAATGTTATGGATGTCAAGAAGATGCAGTAGATGAGGAAACCAAAACCTTATCTTCTGATAGCAATCCCAGTCTCTCATTTTTATGCATGAAGTGTATAAATATATTTTTCTGACAAATACATGAGGATTGCAGTTTTTACAACACAGCTGGAAGACCAAGCTAGCTAGATGCAACACTGGACCTGGATCACTTATTTGGGAAGAGTTTTAACCCCTTCCTCCATGTGCTTTCCCTGACACAGTCCACACATACAAAACTGCAGGTATCTCTCTTTCCCTCTTCCACAGCTATCAGCAGTCTGAGTGGGAAGAGCTCCAAATCAGAGGCCACCTCAAGGCTATTTTTAATCAAAGGAAAATGTTAGATGATCTAATTATCTGTTGGCCTGCCTCACATCTAATTTGCCACTGATTTTCACATTGGAAAACTGACAGTTCACCTAGAGACTCAGCTTTGCTTTTTTAAAATTTGGAGACACTAAAAATAAATGTACAGAATTACACAATATTTTCCAATTGTTTTCATTCGCTTCTGACTATTATTTTTCTCAACAGTTACAAGTCAGCAATTTAAAAGAAATCTCCTTCCTAACAAGCAGGGAAAGAAGGAAACTGGACCGATCAAGCAACAGGATGGACAGCCCCCCAACCTGTGCCATCACAACTATGCATTCCATTTTATTTCTTCTTCCCACCTACAGACAAAAAGTTAGTCCTTCTCCCCCAAAATCTAAACTTTCTGAAGAAAGTGAATCAGCACCTAAAAATAAGCGAAGTATCTAGTAAAAATAAGCAAAAAGGCAGAGAAAAGAATCCATTAAAAAGGATAAGTGATGGTATTTAGCAAGGTGTAAAAGAGAGAGGCAAAACTCATTAACTTCTAATGACATGAATACACGCCATATTTTGAAGGTGTGTTATGCACCAAACACCCCCCGCCCCACACACACACACACACACACACACACACACAAATACACACCTTGAGAGAGAAGGAAGAGAATCTCCTTCTGTCCATGAGGAGAGCGTTCACATCTCCCTTTCTCAAACTGCCACGGCAGCCTAAACAAGAGAAACAGTATTTGAAAAAAAAATACGGCTCTTAAAAAGTGGAATAAATGACGCCTCTCGCCCTCCGTAACACTTAGCATGTGCTTCTTCTACCACTTTTGATAGGATTCCGATTCGGGTTCGTCTGCACCCCTAGACAGCGCGAATCTGGAAGGGACTTTTTCGGCGTGGGTGCGAGAGCGGATGAGAAACCCGCAGCCGAGGGTTCTTTACGAAAGCCAAAAGCCAAGCCTAAGCGCGGCTGTGCGAGAGCGCGGCAACCACGCTGTCATCCCCTCCTTCCATCACCCACTTTCGTCGCAAAGCAAACTCTCGGCGGCCCCCCGAAACCCCTCGGCCTGAGGAGGGAGTGTTCCGCGCGCGCGCCGCCGCCCCGAGCACGCCCTTGTATGTGTGCAGGGGCGTGTGCGCAACTCTGTGCAAGTCCATACATAACCAGACAAAACCCCCCAAAGCGAGCGAGCAAGCAAGCAAGCATCTGTGGAGTTTTCCACTTACTCCCCGCTCGCGCTGCTGCTCCGTGCCGAGGTTTTCTCCAGACTCTCGGAGGCGGGCAGGCAAGTTACCCCAAGCTCAGGGGTAAGAGAAAGAACCACCCGGACTGCGCCAGCCGTTCTTCCCGCACCGAGAAAGATTCGCGCTCGGCCTGCGCCGGTAGGCGGCAGTTGCTTCTTCCTTCGCCTCGGCTCTCCTTCTCCGCTCGCCTGCCCGAGCGGGGAGAGACCGCGCCGCCGTCCGAGCCGCGCCTAAGGCCCAGCGAGGCGCCAGGGGCTCGGCGGGCCTGCCCTTCGGGTCCCCAGTGAGCGCCACCAAGTGCGTCACCACGCAGCGGCGGAGAGCGCTGCGGAGGGCGGCCCCGGGGCGGGGCCAAGGGCCGGGCTGCCTCCGCTCCGCCGCTGGGAAGGGGCGAGGAGGAACTGCAGGGGCCCCTTCGCGGGAGCCCCTCAGCGGCGGCTGGTGGCATGCGCGGGGCGGGTGGGCCTAGGCCGCCGCCAGCCTCTCGGCCGAAATCCCGAAGGGGTAGCCGTGTGGCGCCTTAAGAGCAAGGATAAAGATGCCCTTGGCTGCACTTCCATGCAGCCCCCCCCCCCTTTATTAGGCTAGGCTCAAGAGCTGGTTTAATCATGGCTCCTTAAGTGCCGAATGAGCCAGCTAGCCAAAAAGGAGACGGGATTCTTCCTAGCACGTGTATGGGACGATTTATTGTGATGTGAAGTACAAAGCAGTTACTTGAAAAAAGAAGAGAGAAAAGCACTAGTCAGACCTCACCTGGACTACTGTATCTGGTTTTGGGCACCTAGGTTTTAAACAGATGGAGAAAAGTGAGAAAGAGTACAGGGGAGGGCAGCAAGGATGATTCAGGGTCTGGAGGCTGTCAGAATCCTGGAATCTCAATTTGAGAAGAGGAAATAAAACTTGGGTTCGTGGGAAAGATCAAGCGTCCAGACCATCTTGGCCTTATTGCATTACCCAGGTTCCCGTGGTATACTCACGATAATGCATTACCGGGCAGGCAGAGGTAAACTCTGCTGCAAAGCTTCAATACCATTACAGGGCATTTATACCCTCCCAGGTACAGAGCAATTGATGACAGAATGTAGACATTACAATAAGGTTCTGAGGTCATCAGATGCAGAACAGATAAAGGAATGTCAGTCAATCATACAGAGACAATGGGATTACAATATTTCTAACTTCAGTGTATTGACACTTTAGTTGAGTACCTTGAACCCATCTCCAGGTCTGCTTAGACATGTAAATTCAAGCTACTGAGAAACTATAAACTCAGACCCTTATCTAGACTCTAGACATTCTGAATGACCAGGGCACATGAAGCCCTCTGGGCTATCAAAAGATATTTCCTTGTAAACTGTGAATTCCAACAATGATTATTTACAATCATTGGCCTGTCTACTGTAGCTTACAGCTAAAGTGAGAGGAAGGAGCGGGGGATGAATGCCATTTTAAACAGTGACTTGGCTTGGTTTGAGAAGGGAGTACAGGATTTGATCCCACAATGCAAAAGCACACAGAAGTAATGCTTTTCAGACAGGATTTATCCAAATTTTCCCAACAAGGCAAAGCCCTTTGAGGAAAGATTGACAGAAACAGGCAAGTTCAGTCTCGAGAAGAGACAAATAGGATGGGATAGGATAGCACTCTGCACGTACCTGAAAGGCTGTCACAAAGAGGAAGGAAAAGATCTCACTCATCCCTGAATGTAGGACATGGAACACTTAAACTGCAGCACCTCAAATTCAGGATAGACACCAAGAAAAACTTCCTCATTGTCAGAGCAATACAGCAGTGGAAGCAGTTGTCAAGAGAGGCCGTTGGGCTCTCCCACACTAGAGACCTTCAAGGTGAAATTGGATAGTCTTCTGAGTGGGATGGTATTACTTGGTGTCCTGCACCAGCAGGGGGTTGGATCCAGTGGCCTTCTTGGGCCTTCTGACCCTACTATTCTATGAATCTGTGAAAGTCATTTTTCCATTACTTTTCATGATCCAGACAATTTCTCCTTGCATGATATTCAGCCTCCTTCTAATAAGCCAGAGTGGCAGCCTGATATCTCTGGTGAAAGTCTTGAACGATTGCCCACCTTACATCTGGCAATGCACCAGCTCTGGATTCCATACCTGCCAATATCTCACCTTGAATGGTGAGCAACTTTACTTTCAACCTTCTTCACTCTTATTAATAGAACCAGGAATATTTCAGATATGAGGAACAAAGCTGTTATAGTTCCTGTTCCCAAAAAACAAAATAAGACCCTTTTAATTACCATCCCATCAGCCTTCTATCAGTAAGAAGGGAACTTTATACCAGTTTTAAAAATGAAAGCATCAATCCTGGACTGAGGATCAGAGAATAATTAGAGAAGATCACATTGAGTTTAGAACTAGTTGCTCAGTTTTAGTTGATTGCTACTCATTAACATATTTAGCTGAAAATTTTACTTCAATTTGTGACAGGAAGCTTTTTTCCTCCCATTATTGGCCATAAGTCAACTTTTGTCCTGGTCCCATGAGAATTACTGTGGTCAGAATTGTAGACCATTGGTTATGATTTCTTATTAGATGTCTATATGTTTCATACCTTTTATCCAGATTTATAAAGCCGTGTCCTTGACCCAGCTTACATTTGGTATCCCAGTTGGATTTCTGGGTTCAGCTCTCAGGTACACCGAGTTCAATGGTTTCCTTAGGAAGATTCTGGGTTTACCCTCCTGTGTGGGGAATACAACTATTTACGTGGAACTGGGGTATTTGATCAGCTGAGCATCACGCTTGGACAAATGCTTGAAATTTTGGCTGTGGGTTTTTTTTCAGCTCCCACTGGTTATATTTAATATACTACTTTCTGATTTCTCCATTAGTTGGTGGGTTAGGGAGGTGAAGAAGTCAATGTTTAGGTTGGTTTTCCTCTGAAGATTTAGGCAATTATGTGTTGATGGGAATAACTGTGACTTATGCAGCAGCTGGTTGGTTTGAGCTCTAGTGTCTGAGATCCACAGTTAAGTCTTGTTCCCCATTACTTCTGAGTAATTGTTTAAAATATGGAATTGTTAGAGCTTCATACCAATAAATATCGACCGTCTCCAAATACAGGAGAGCTGTCAGGCTCACTCATTTCCAAAGTGCATCCTTCTGCACAGTTAAATGGACAATTCAGTAAGATCCTGATGTCTGTCTGTGTCTATGCCAAGTGGGTGTAACAGAGTCTGTTGATTATATGCTTCTGCATCAGAATCGGTAAGAAGACTTCAGGGAAAAACTGACTCTCTTTTTATTAAGAACTGCTCCAGGATGACCTTCTGAATAGCTGGTGATATTTTGTTTGAAGAATGACTCATCCTATAACAATAAGAAAGTTTCTTATTTTAATGTAAATGACCGGGGGGGGGGGGGATCTGTTGACCTCATTTTAACATGTTTTATTTTAATCTAAGTACACTTAATTGGTTGCATGTGTTGTAAAACTTTGTTTTATTGTAAGACCATCCTGAGACTATTTGGTAGTGGACGGTATAGAAAAGTTTTGAATGAATGAACTGTAGTGATCCATGACCGCAACAGAACATTCATTCATTCACTTCCTTAGAAGAGCTGGTCCAAGATATTTTGCTGTTTGAGTTGAATGACAAAAATTTCCACACCCACAAAAATTTATTTGTTCATCCATTCATCCATTCAATTTGCATGTCAAAGCTATAGCCAAAGTTCTCAGAATGACATACATAATAAAACAGATACAGTAAAACCAGTTAAAAACAAACAATACACATTGTTAAAATACGGCATTCAGAAGCTAGCTGGACTGGCAGCTGAATCTTACTTCAGTGCTGGAGGTGAGGCAGCATCCTCCAGTTCCCCCTAGGGCAGGGGTCAGCAACCTTTAACACTCAAAGAGCCATTTGGACCCGTTTCCCACACAAAAGAAAACACCGGGAGCCACAAAACCCTTTTGACATCTAGAATGAAGATAACACTGCATATATCGTGTTTTTTTTTTTTTTACCTTAATGCTATGTATATCTTCATTATGATTTAGCTGCAGCTTTTGTTCAGTCACTAAAAACTGTTATTTTTAATCTTACATTATAAACTAGTAGGACTCCTGTCATATATTTTGAATAGGAGAACAGCTTCCTGAAGAGTCAAAGTCAGTGCTAAAGGGCTGCATGCATTAAACAGCAAACCCCATAAGTTCGGCAGTAGTAAAAGCAAGTGAATCTACCTACATATCATTAAATGTTTGGTTTTCTTCAGAAACTTTTCTTCAGTTTATCCATGGTTGGCCTACCAGGGGAAGTCGCAGATATAGGTGTGTTTAGTGACTGATTAGCAGATAAACAGTCAAGTGATGTGAATTGTGACAGGTCCCAAGCACAGCTTTTATCATTCAGAGGAAGGAGATTACATTTGGGCAAAGAGAATCTTTTCGGCAGCTTTTTTTTTAACATGAGTGCCTGCAGGAAGCTTGTTCCACTCTTTCCCTGCAATGTCGCAATTTACTTGACCTGCTAGCTCAGTGTTCCTGAGTGGATGCCTCATCATCACCTATTGGTATTTTGTAACTCGGAGCCTCGGTCGCAGATCAGCGGCTATGACGCGTATTTTGGGCAATGGAGCCACCGCAGAGGGATTCAAGAGCCACGTGCGGCTCCTGAGCCATGGGTTGCTGACCCCTGCCCTAGGGCCTAGGGCAGGGGTCGGCAACCTTAAACACTCAAAGAGCCATTTGGACCCATTTCCCACAGAAAAGAAAACACCGGGACCCGCAAAACCCTTTTGACATCTAAAATGAAGATAACACTGCATATATCGTTTTTTACCTTTATGTATAAAAAACTATAGTGTGTTGCATTTATGAAATCAATGAATGATTCTTTTATAAAACTCCATCTGTGAGCGGCTTCCCGTGCCACAAAACTAGCATATGTAGTTGAATTTGCAGAATTTGCAGACTTCTGCATCAGTTCCAAAATGGCTTTTTTTTCTCTCATCTCCATCCAGATATTTTTCAGCAAAGGCTGCGTGTTTATTCTGGAAATGCCTTGCAACATTCGACTTTTTGTTGTTTGCCAATTTCTCGCCACATATTAAGCATTCTGGTAAACCAGTCCCGTCAGCAATGAAAGCAAATGAATCTGCCCACGTACCACTAAACATTCTGTTTTCTTCTGAAACTTTTCTTTTCTTGGATTTATTCATGGTTGGCCTACCTGGGATTGAAAAACTCAATAAATCATATGCCGGCGGGTGTCACACA